TGTGTTCTACTTAAGTTGTCTTCTCCATTGCAAAGTAATCAGAATAATCCAGTCCCTTGCTGGGGGTGTGGTGGTACATGCCTTTAAAATCTGGGCATTGGGAGGCAGAGACAGGTCGATCTCTGAGTCAAGTTCCATGACAGACAGAACTACATAGAGGCCTTGTCTCAAAAACAGCCCAGAATATTGCAGTCCCTACAATACCACTGAATCTTTTCTCCTTCTTCACCCATAAATTTCTTATTCCCTGTTCCTCAAACCTTAAAGAGGCTGAAGTTGTGCGTGTGCGTGTGTGTGTGTGTGATCTCATCTATCTAGTAACAAAATAGATGCACTTTGGGGAAGCCCATGTGCCTTTCCATGTCTATAGTCAAGTCTTAAGAGAGACCTCCCCCTCTGTCTTCCTCTCCCTGGCCTCAGAGACTCACCCTCCCCACTCACTCCCAGCAGGGTTGGGCCAGACTGAGGTTTGGCTAGGGCTCTCTGCAGCTGGTACTAAACCACAGAGGTCACCCCGAGAGCACAAAGGGGAGTGTCCCCAAAGGTCACTTGCTTTGAGCTCAGGCAGCTTTTCTCCATGGAAACAATGCCACACAGTTACTCAAATAACATTTATAGTTGGAGGTAAGGTCCCCAACCCACAACAGGCTATTAAATTACTGTGCCAACCAACCTGATCTGACAGTTCATGGAGCCGCTCTGCCAAGTGGCAGCTGAGTGGCAGGTTCACAGCCCCTCCCCGCAGCAGCTTTCCCTTCCTCTTTAGGAACCTGGGGCCTGGCTCTCAGGCAGTGTGGGAGGAGTTGAAGGGCAGAGCTTCTGAGGTGGATCTTCTGGGGTGGGGCCAGGGAATGTGGCTGCCCTGGCATGTAGGCGTGTGGGTGCTGACAGTGGCCCTGATGGCTTAGGGCAGAAGTCTCTCACTCTCTCTGGGGTGTGTGTGTGTGTGTGCACATGTATGCACTTGCATGTATGCATGTATGTGTCTGTGTATGTCTATGTGTGTCTGTCTGTGTGTGTCTGTCTGTCTATCTGTCTGTCTGTCTGTGTATGTGTGAACCAGGAAAGAAAGGAACAAGCCATCAAAGGGTTTGAGGCCCCACTGTTGATCTGACTGAGACAGAGCATACCAGCTGCTATAGGAGGCGACAGTTCTAGAAAGATTTCACTCTCCAAGTTTAGCTGAGACCTCAAATTAGAGGGATGCGTCCATGTCACCAGAACAGGCAAGAATAGGACAGAATTGTGGAGAGGATGGTGACACAGCCGCACAGCCCACCCTGTTGGTAGATCAGAGGAGAAGAAGAAACAAAGTGGGGAGGGAAACTGCCAAGGGGAAGTCCCCAGACCTGTCACACCCTCGCAGCCACTTCTTGCGTTAAAAATAATCTGGTAAACCAAAAGTGGTAGCATATGTCTACAAATCCAGAACCTGGGGAGGCTGAGGCAGGAGGATTGCTTAGTTTGAGGTTAGCCTGAGCTATGTAGTGAGTTAGAGACCAGTCTGGCTATAGTGAGAGGTCCCATCACAAACAAACAGACCTAACAGAACAAAGGCCATGAAGAATACACTTGGGCCAATGTCCTGGGACGACTGGACTCTAGAAGGCTGTGGCCTTCACTGCTCTCTACCTTGGTTGAGTACATACACAGTTGCAGATACACAGGGCCAGGCTAGGTGGGAATGGGTAGGAGAGGGAAGGGAGGGATGGCAAGACTTGAGCTGCCTCAGAAGAAGTTTTTATGTGACAAAGTAGAGAACCAGGCTGAAGGGTGTGGCCCCTGTTCCTGTGAGCCTGGTAGAGCAGGCCTATGTCAGTCACATGCTACCTTCTTCCTGGAGGGCTTCTGAGAGCCTCTAGTCTGTTGAGGGGAGGAGACACCATCCTGCCTGGATGCTTCTAAATGTCCTATTGGTATTAATTTTCTTATCTTCACTGCAGTTTCATGGGAAGTGGCATTGTGTGCTGACTGCTGTGTCTCTGGCCCTTTGTTGTATAGCATTCCAACTTGAAAGGAAGCTGTTACGACTCAGGCTGGTCTAAAGGGAAGGGAACATTCCATCCTACAGGAAAACCCCTTAAAACTCAGGAAGTGAACAACTCAAAAGTTCCAGGAAGTTCCTGAAACTGACCACATTAACTAGGTCCTTCCCATCCCAAGTATATATGAGCAGAAAGAACTGCTGAGGGACACTTGGACCTGCTGAGCTGCTGGAGACAATCTCACTCCAAGTTTTCAGTTTCATGAGCTACTGCCCAAGTCGGAGTGCTTTCTTGAGCGTAGCTGTCTCTGATTCCTGCAAGTAGTACACTCCATAGTAACCCCATAGACTTAACTCATCGGTGCCCCAGTTGTGTTTTGGTGGCGCTCTTACTCTGGTCTGTTGTTGGTTCCCTATCTGGGGTGAGTAGGCATTTATTCACATCTCATTGGGAATGGCATCACACAACACCTTAAATGAAGCCCTGGGATACCTCCCTGAGCAGCCTAGATGCTGAAGCAAACCAGATACTGGCCTCAGTGAAAGGCAACAAAGTAGCCTACTGCACTGACACATTGATCTGTTCCCGAGCTATCTGTGGTTTTCCCCAGCACAGAAAGTGAAAGAATGCACACCCTATTCCTGTTCTGGAAGCTCCGGTGTGCAGCCTCACTGATTCATCTGGGAAGGGCTCAGAAGTCACGAACAGTCCAGCAAGTGTGGGGCCCATGGTGACACACTCTCCTCCGCATCACCCCACGAAATCAGGTGGAGGCCACCTGTTCTTGTTGAAGGTTTACCTCAGTCAAGTGGGGATTGCTTTTCTATTCTTTTTAAATGGAGTCTGACCAAGCCAGCTCAGTCAGTCAACAGGGTCTGAAGGGAGGGAGGGAGGGAGGGAGGGAGGGAGGGAGGGAGGGAGGGAGGGAGGGAGGATTGAAAAGAAAAAGATAATTAGACAAAATTATAACATGACTCCAGCCAGTACTGAGGCTGAAGCAGCTTTATTTCTCTCCAGTCTGCTTTTATATCATTCTAGGTACATCCCAGACACACGGTCAGTTCTTAGGTCAAAGACAAAGTAATAAAGCAAAGTGGTAAACAGATTGATCACATAAGATAGTAATCAAGCAAAGTAGTAAGCCAGGAGATCACACAAGGTAATAATTAAGAAGTTATAAACAAAGCCCCATGGTCACTGTTTCTAATATTCTAACCTGAGCCTACCTCCTTGTCTGAGCCCAGTGACCAATGCCAAATTCCTAGAAGCGGCACCAAAAGCTCTCAACAGGAGTCGCACTTGGTAGCTCAGGCTGGCATCAAACTCGTGGATGGCTCTCCTGCCTCTGCCTCCCAAGTGTTGGGGATTATCGGTGTGAACTAATCTGTCTGACTTAGAATCTTAACTAGTACCTTCTGTCTAAAATGTCTTGACGACAGTGTGACGTGTCCCCAGACTCTAGTGCTGCAACAGACTTACGAAGGAAGGATTCCCCTCATCTTGTGAGAGGCCTGGGTTTCAGGCAAAGCTTCTTGACCTTCAGAGGATATGTTAAAGGAGACACTGAAGTATAGAGAGGTGTGTTCTTATAAAGTGTGTGTGTGTGTGTGCATGTGTGAGTTTATGTGCACCAAGAGCATGCAGCTCACTGTGGAGGCCAGAGGGTGGGTCTCCTGGAACTGCAGTTACAGGTGATTGCAATCTGCTTGACACGGTGCTAGGATGCAAGTTGGGTCCCCTGCAAGAGCAGTAAGTGCTTTCAACCACCAAGCTGTCTCTCCTGCCCCAGGAACTGAGTTCTTTGATCTTCCACCATCTTTGTCTTAGTGTGTCTACCCAGACCCCTTCTCTCTGCTGTGGCCAGAACCCTGACAAGAAGCAACATAAGGGAGGAGGGGTTTATTGTGACCCTCGGTTCCAAGGGATTCTGTACATCATGGCGGAAGAGGCATGGCAGTAGCATGAAGCAGCTGCTCACACTGCCTCAGCAGTTGAGAACTAGACAGACAGGAAGTGTGCTGGGCTGTAAAACCACATGGCCAGCTCTCCAGCGATCCATTCCTCCAGCAAGGCTCTATCTCCTAGACACTCTGTAAGGCCTCAAATAACATAACGCCGCCAGCTGGAAACTAAGAGTACAGATGTGTGAGCCCATGTGGGACACAGCCACACAGTGGTGCTCAGCAGCTTCTGTGTCTACTGAGCTGGGCAGTGTTTGATGCTCTGACCTGACGGCTTGGGGCTCGGTTCTTCTGTAACTCTATCAGCTTGCTAATGGATCTGTTATGCGGATGTGAGATCCAGAGAGCCAGTGAACCACTAAGAGACGCTTTACCTCTCCAGCTCTCCAGGTAAGCCCGAGTTCTCCAGTTATTTCATTTGCCCACTTCCTCTAGCGTTGTCTTTGCAGATGTCCCCACAAAAGCCACTCAGAGAGCCTTCTACAAAGATCATAAACTCAGCCCACCCCGCTGTGGCAGCTACTGCTCATTCATGGCCTCGCTTAAATTTAAATATTTTAAATCACAAGGAAGTGATAGGTTCTGAGCTCCCAGCCTCCTCGCTGTCAGATAGCAGGTAGATATTTGACAGCAGAGACGTCTGCTGGGGAGGGTGTTCTCGGCATTCTCTGATGGCTGTCCTTGAGGTTATGGTTTGGGTCTGGAATGCTCCCCCAGAGGCTCATGGGTTGATGGCTTGGTCCTGATGCACTGTAGTTCAGAGGTAAGCAGTCACCAGACCTGGAGCTTGTCAGTGGATTCATTCATTGATGGTTTTTTTTTTAAAAAAATATTTATTTATTTATTATATGTATATGAGTACATCGTTGCTGTCTTCAGCCACACCAGAAGAGGGCATCACAATCCCATTACAGATGGTTGTGAGCCACCATGTGGTTGCAGAGAATTGAACTCAGGACCTCTGGAAGAGCAGTCGGCGCTCTTATCCGCTGAGCCATCTCTCCAGCCCCGATGGATTTATTTATATTTGTATTTATGTGTGCATGTGTGTGCACGGAGGACAGAAGACTGCTTCAGATCCCTTGGAGCTGGAGTTAGAGGCAGCTGGAAGATGTCAGACATGGATGCTGGGAACTGACCCGGGACCTCTGGAATGTTAGCAAGTGCATACATAACTAATGTGCCATCTCTCTAGTCTCTGTTGATGGATTTTTAGTCACGGACTGTTGGGAGCTGGTGGAGACTATGGGAAGTGTAACCTAGTTGGAGGAAGAAAGAGGGTGAGGATATTACCTTTACAAGGATAACTAGTTCCCAGGTCCTACTCTGCGCATGCGCGTGCTTGTGTGTGTGTGTGTGTGTGTGTGTGTGTGTGTGTGTGTGTGTGTGATACAGATCTTGTTCTAAGCACACACGGTCTTTGAGATCAGATCAGGGGCAGTATGGAGGGAAGACAAGCCGCTGTAGGTTACTGGTATCTCCTCCTCTATGCCCCAGGAGAAAGTATGACCCTGTAAGACAGTGTTCAGGAGCTGGCGAGGCAGCTCAGCGATAAGAAGCATGAAGCTCTTGCCAAGGACCCAGGTTCAGTTCCCAGCACCCACATGGTAGCTCACAGCTGTCTGTAACTCCAGTTCTAGGGGATCAGATGCCTTCAGCTGGTCTCAGCAGGCACACCAGTGATTCTGGCTCCCTCATAAAATAAAACTGAACAAACAGTCTTTGAAAAGACCAAGTGTTAGCTTGGTCAGAACAACTTACCCCAGCTCCCTTTCTCAGCCTCACTCTTCCCCTACACTCTCTCATTATTGAGAGGGAAGTTCAGGCTGAGACTTTCTGACCACTCAGAGGAACCTTCAGGACAAGCACAATATCTTACCTCCTCATCTAGATTCTGGAGATCTTGGCTGAGCTGAATGAGGAGTGAAAGGGAACACATTCAGCTATTAAAATCTCCTTAGACGGTGAGAGACACTTTCCATCCCTCTCCATCACCTTCATCTCACCTACAGAAGTCTGGGAACCTGGGGACCTTGTAGCCTAATGGTCAGACCCCAGGCTGAGGCTTCCTCTCTACCTATAGAACAACTTTGCTCTGACACTGGTTTCAGTGGGTTCTAGAACTCTCTAGCATTACTTTTCCGCCTTAGACCCTTCTGCGGACAGACGAGTGTAATCAGGGAAAGGCTAGCCCCAGCCACCTTCCAGGATTCTTTATTTCATATCTTTGATGTCTGGGTTGTGTGTAGCCTAGGCGGGTCTTGAACCTGTGACCCTCCTGCCTGTGGTGGGGTTGGAGGCTGATCCTCCACATTCTTTCTCACCCAGCTTGCTCCTCATGTACTTGATGATGCCCACAGTCAGGAAGATGAGTCCCAGCACCAGGCCAACCACTCCGGTCAGCATCTTGTTTCGGGCAGAGTCAGAATTTGCCCCTGGGAAGAAGAGAATTCGGGGTTAATGTCCCCTCCTGAGGCACTACACCCCTTGGTCTGACAGGGATTCAGAATATCAACATGAAGGTCACGGAGAGGGACACCGTGGGGGAGGCTATGTGGCAGGACTCTGGGATGTAGACCTAGGCTGGTGTCTTCAAAGGATCACCATGAGGATTCGGGCAGCTGCCTTTCCAAACAAGGACAGACAAAAGGCAGATGGGGGAGGTCAGCCCCCGGTGTGAGGGCATGGCAGGGGATGTCTGCCTCCCTAGACTTCCTGACAGGGCCAGATCTCACATCCTCAACATCCCCAGACCAGGGACAGGCTCTCCTCTCGTGCCTCCAGCTCAGAACCAGCCTCAGGGGCCTCCAGAAGTACGGGGCTGGGGGTGGGGGGGGGATCAGGCCCCAGTGTATAAACACCTAGGGCAGGATAGTGGATCTTGAGTCGGGGTGCTACCGGCTCTACAGAAGAGCCCCCAGGGGTGACTCACTCCACTCTACTGTGATGGGGCTCTCAAGGCTGGGGTGTTCCACGTGGCAGGTGTACACGTCTCCCCGCTGTGGAGTTATCTCCAGCATAACCAGAACCTGGAAGGTCCAGTCCCCGTTTCGGATCAGGTTGGTGGACAGGACCCCATCAGTTCTCTCCTGGCTGTTCTGGAACCAGCGGACTTGAATGCTGTCTGGGTAGAAATCTGTCACGTGGCAGACCAGCAGGTTATGGTGCTTCAGGGTGACCTTCTTGGAGGGTGACACATGTACCTTAGGCTGGACTAGGAGTAGAAGAAGTGTCATATGAGAGTGTGATTCTGTGGTGAAGGCCTTCAATCCCAGCACTCTGGAAGCAGAGGCAGGTGGATCTCTGTGAGTATGAGGCCAGCCTGGGCTACAGAGTGAGTTCCAGGACAGCCAGGAACACATAGTGAGACATATTGTCCAGCTGAGAGTCTCCCACTTTGTCATGGTGAGAAGGATGCAAGATTCATTCAAATACTTTTTCAAATTAATTTTAAAGATTTACTTGTATTATTTCATGTGTATGAATGTTTTGCCTGCATGCATGTCTGTGTACCGTGTGCATGTCTGGTGTCCTCAGAGGTCACAAGAGAGTGTTGGTTGTCTCAGAACTGGGGTTGCAGATGGCTATAAGCTACCATATGGGTGCTGGGAATTGAACCTGGGACCTTTGTAAGAGCAGCCAGTGCTTTTAACTGCTGAGCCATCTCTCCAGCCCCCACTTGGCCACCTTTATGAACTGACAGTTCCTCAGTCAACTCCTTTCCGAACTGTGATTTATGAATTAAGATGTGTCTCCATTTGAACTCCTGGACTTTTTTCAGTTTTGCCTTAGAACATGCCTGCAGTATACAACTGACCTCTAGGGGGCTCTGCAGCTAAATCTACAGGCCGAAAGGACTCATTACTTTTCTGGATCAAACTATACGTCACAAAGACAAAAGTTTTCCAATGTCCTAAGGCTGCATCCTGAATGGTCACTAAATATCTGTATGATTATTTCTAGACTCTTGTTATAGTTATTCACCCTAGAGATTTAGTCCAGATGGGCACCCTGTACACCCAAGGCTAAATATCTAAGGCTACAAGGAGGAAAACCCATAGTTCAAGGGCAGCCTGAGTTACAGAGATTATTTCTCAAGGCCGGGGGTGGGGTGGGGGGGAGGGATGGAGAGATGGCTCAGCAGTTAAGAGGATCCAGAGGATCAAGGTTCAATTCCCAGCTTGCACGTGGCAGCTCATAACTGTCTGTAACTCCAGTCCCAGGGACACTCTCTTCTGGCCTCCGCAGGCACCAGTACAGACGTGGGGGTGCACAGACAGACAGACAGACAGACATGCAGGCAAAACACCCGCACATATAAAATAAAATTTTTAAACAGGAGAGAAAAATAAATTTCATAGCTCTTAACTATTTTCTTTGCTGCCTGCTTGTTATATGTTTATTTATTTTGAATTCATTTTAAGATTAAACTACAAAAATACTTTCCTCTCTCATAACTTGTGCTGTAGTTACTGTTCTTAGGATGACAGTATCTCCTCACCTGCCGCTCGGGCCCCAGCCTTCCCTTGTCCCAACTTATTTGACACTGAAAGCACAGCTCTAACCTTGACCATTCCTACTTGGACAGCAGTTCTGTGTGGTCCGCACCAACTCTACTTAATATATATATATATCCATACTTTTTAAAAGATTATCTATTTTATGCATATGAGTACAGTATAGCTATTTTCAGACACACCCTAAGATCCCATTACAGATGGTTGTGAGCTACCATGTGGATGCTGGGAATTGAACTCGGGGCCTCGGAAAAGCAGTCAGTGCTCTTAACCACTGAGCCAACTCTCCAGCTCCCATTTCTAATTCTTGAGGCTGGTGAGTGAAGAGTTCTAGTCTAGCCTGGACTACATGGTGAAACAACCAACCTCAGGTTTGGGAATACATCTGTACTTGGTTACACTGTAACCAGAGGAAAACTAACTGAAACCAGACTTCAGATCCCGGCACCGCTCAGTGTAGATCTCTGGAGTTCTCGGCACTGCCGAGTGTGATCTCTGGGCAGTGATTTTGGGGGATCTGCTGAGCAAATGAGTCTGGGACACTCTGGTTCATGTGAGTCACCCAGGCTCAGGCTGGAATATAGGGCTCTCTGCAACCCGACAACCAAGCACACAGGATGCCAGCCTACAGTTGAGGACAACCCTTGAGCTTTGGACATCACCTTACCTAGCTACTCGGTCATCTTTTCTAACTCAGGTCACTGTCCCAACTCCTTCCCAATATGTCTGGATTCCCACTCATTCCTAGGAGTCAGGGCTTAGCTTATGACGGGGACTCCCGCTCTCCAAAGAGGGGTTTAAAGGCGTGTGTCCCCACATACTCTTTCCTGTATCTGCAGAAGGCTCCTGCATCACCCCTGGCTTTTGTTCCTTCAGGTCTTCTCAGGATGCTCACCAAGCTCCCTCACTCCAAGAGCTGAGGGGACGGAGCTGGGTCCTTTCTCCTGACTCTGCACAGCTCATCTGTCACCTTTACTCTCTGAGCACCTAGTCACCCCGCCTACCAGCTCTCAACCCTCCAGCTTCTATCCTTACCTTCTGAAGCTGTTGGTCCCGCCGTCTGCTATAGTCTGTCAGCCTCTCTACCTCAGTTTCCCCGACACTTCTCTGCCCCCGTTTTTTGCTTCACTTCATGGTCTCCTCACAGGGACTGCTGTTAGCCCGCTTTGGATCCACGGCCTCCAGGACCCTGCTTTGTTATCTTTACTGATTGGTCTCTCTAGGCGACTTCACTGGGCAGACCTTCCTGCGCCTGTCCTTGAGTCCTGAGCCTCCATTGCTCCCTTTGTGTTCCCCCTGCACAACCTGCGCTCCTGGGACGTGGCACCCGAGGCCCATCTCCCCACAGCCTACAATTGACCCATGGTTCTGCTCCCTTCACCCCTCAGCAGGCTGATTATCAGGCCTGACATGCTCTTGACAGTCCTTAGTCCGACCTCTGTGCCCTTGTCCTCGCCCCCAAGTCTCTGCCTGCCACCCCCAACCCCATGCTACCCCATCCGTCCCCCGGGCTGCTGCCTGGCCTGGCTCTCCTCCGGGACCTCACCTCTCCGTTTCGCCGTGAAGCGCTGGTTCAGCTCGTAGTTGTGTCTGCACACCGTGTCCACCTCGGACCTCCGCCGCTCCATGTAGTCCTTCTGCTTGTTCCAGGACTCGGCCCACGGTCGCCCCATGGGGGTGAGCGCGCGGAACTCGCCCACCGCGCTGTCGAAGCGCATGAACTCCTCGCGGTTGAAGATGCATCTCATGATGAAGCGCTGCGTCCCGTTCTGCTCCGCGTAGCACTCATGCAGCGCGCGCAGCAGGTGGTTCTCTGAGGGCGGCAGAGACCGAGTCCTGAGGCGCTGGGACTCCGCCAGCCTCAGTCCCACCCCACCGAGGGACCCCGCCTAGCCACAACCTCACAGCCTCTCCCCAGCTTCCCTCTCAGTTTGGATCTTTGAATACTACTTATATTGATTGGGTTTTCTTTATTTTTGAGAATTAGACATGATCATACCTACCCTCCACTTTCCCCTCCAAATCCCTGCAAATATCCCAGCATGGCCCCTTCCTACTTTGGGTTCTCTCTCTTCTCTTCTTCTCTTTTTCTCACCTTCTCCCTTCCCTCCTCCTCCTACCCCTCCCTCTTTTTCTCCTCCGTCCTTCTCTCTGTGTCCCTTGTCATTCATTCCCTCCTCTTTTCTTCTAAGTTCAATTTATGCTGTCCCATCCCCTGGCGCATGAGACCAATGACATCATTTTCAAAAAGGAGCGATTATGGAATTGGTGGTTATGAGCACTGGCAGCTTTGAATCCCAGAATTCATATGGTGGCTCACACTCCAGTTCAAGATCAAAGCCTGCGTCTGGCAGCCAATGGCACCAGGCACACCACGCATGGTGCACAGACATACATGCATGCAAAATGCACACACACACACACACACACACACACACACACATGTTTTCCCGTTCCAGCAGCTCCCTAGGCCTCAGTTTCCTCACCAGTGACGTCAGGGTGCGGTTCACAGGACATAAAGGGACTTCCTGTTGAGAGTGACCAGTACCAGTGAAAGGTTGAGGCACTTGAGGGGAAGGTGACAATTCTGGGGGCTGAGTGGAATGACACTTCACATGGGGCCACCGGGAGTTACAGAATCTCACTGTAGCGGTCACTACAGGAGTGAAGCTGCAGGGTAGGGGGCGGGGCCTTGGGGCGGGGCCTTGGGGTGGGGCCTTGGGGGCGTGGCCTTGGGAGATACTGACGTCCCTGTATCTGTGGAGTCTGGAGCAGCCCACTTGTATACCTCAAATGTCCCTTCCCCATAACAAGGTGCTTTCCTTGCTGAACCAATATCTTTAATACTCCTGCATGCTGTACTACATACAGTACGTCCTGTCCCATGTGCTGGGAATGCGGAAATAAATCTATAGACCTTAACGTAAAAGTTAATTCGCTATTTCACCTTTAAGTAGCCATGTGCAAAAGGTCTTAAAAGGTGTGGACTGCATATGTAGAAACACCATATGGTGAAATTCGCCATTTGGCATGATAACTTAAAAAGTTAATTAGGTCTGGAGAGGTGGACCAGCAGTTGAGAACACTTGCTGTTCTTGCAGAGGACTTGGGTTCAGTTCCTAGCACCCACAGGGATGCTCACAACCATCTGTAAGTCCGGTTCCAAGGGATCCAATACCCTCTTCTGACCTTTGTGAATCCCAGGCTTACCCATGGTCCACATGTGAACATGCAGGCAAAGCATCCCTACACATAAAATAATACAAAACATAAATTCATTTAAAAAATAATATGGAATGGCAGCTCTCACCTAAAATCCCAGGGCTAAGAATGCAAAAGCAGGAGGATTGCTGCAAATCTTAGGACAACCTGGTCTAACGGGGTTGGGGGAGGGCACTGTCCTGAACCTTAATCACTGAAAATCACCTCAGTGAAGCCCTAGTGGGCCCCCTCGTTACTAAAAACACTGGGTGGGTAATTGTTACAAGAGAGATGTGGAGGCCTCCCTCTCTCCCTAGGAGCCTCTGGCAGTGTGGGTTGTTCCGTTTGTCCTGTGTGAGCCTCTGTGGGTCTGTTTGTCCTCTCATCAGTGAAAATGGTTGTTTTCATGTTCCACCTCCTGAAAATTAGAATTTCAAAGCAAATCCTGCCTTTTTTCCAGTCCAACAACCAGTTCCAACACAGTTCGTTCTGATCAGGCAAGCGGATCCGAAGATAAAACGGCAAGTGTTGTTTGTACCACAAGAGGGCGCTCTAAGCCGGTTTATTAATGCGTTTTATAGCCAGTAGCAGGGACTGGGAGCAGCTTGGGGAGGGAGGCTTGTGAAGCCTTAGTTGGGTTCCATTCCCAGCACTGCAGGTAATAAACACACTAAACTAAAATAACCTATTGTTTCATTTAAGATATCCGCTTTGGTGTGGGGACGCACGCCTGTAATGTCAGCAATTGAGAGGCTGAGGCAGGGGCATTGTGGAGAGCTGGAGGCCAGCCTGGACTCTCATCTTAAGACAAAGAGGATATTAAAAGTTAAAGGGTCAAGTCTTCTTCGTCTCATAGCTTCTGAGGCCTCAGTATTAACACTGCTGGGGCTCCCAACGCATTTGACGTAAGATGCTCAGTAATTAACTTTTCTACCATGTCAGGGGGAAGGTAAGGCTGAGGAACTAAAGCCAAAGACCAGCATTCCAGACAAATCTGCACTGGTCACTGTAGCTACAGATGTTGCGAAGTCTTCCTGAGGTGGGGGAGCCTGGGGTGCAGGTGCAGGAAGAGATGACTATGGGATGTTCTGATGGTTCCTTCTGTCACCATAGTAACCCCAGAACAATTTGGCCTATCCTGGTGTACTCAGGAGGATCTGCACGGCTGGGGCAGAGGACAAGGGGAGGGTGGGAAGACCTAGGGCTTCTGTAGTAGCCAACGCACACTGTGCGGAAGTCCTGACCTGCTTCCACAGCAGGTGTCTCAGCCCAGTGTCCAGGACCCCACCACTTTCTGTGCACATTTTCTCTCTCTCTCTCTTCCCCACCTGCCTCTCCTTGCCTCTGAATATGAATCTTGTCATTTTAATGCATTAGTTTTTTATTTCTCCTTCCTTATCAGTAATTCATGCTTGTACAAGCAAGGAAAACAAGTTTGAAACTTTCCTTTGGCAATACTTAACTTTTGTAAGCGGAACTTATCCATGAAGGAGGTAAAACTGAAATGGGAGGGGTCTCCCTCACCTGTTGTGGTCACTCAGTGTCCCAGACACACCGCTAAGCCTGTCCCTGGCCCCACCCATTTCTGATTCCCTGGACCTTGAAGGGAGAGTTTCCACAGCTGAGCTGTCCTTGAGTTGGGTCTCACAGTCTTCTGTGATCAACAAGGACAAGTTCTCTCTCCCTCCTCAGCAAGTACACCCAATGTCATCCTGGGTGAGCAGAAGCCACTCTCTTCTAACACTGAGTCAGTCAGGTGACTGAGTCCCTTCAAGGCTGTGGATGGAGATGTGGGGAAACCCAGGAGGCTGAACCTTCTGACCTCTCTGTAAACCTTGCCCTGCAAACTTATTCTAGAACTCCAGGCATGTTGTCCACAGGATGTGGCATGCAGACCCCTTAGCATCTCTGGAGGGTTCACGGTTTCTACATTCCCAGGCGTGGGAAAAACTGACAGAAAAAAAAAAGGCAATGCGGATATGAGCCTGCTTTTCTAGCTGGGAAAGAAGGACACGGGCTGTGGGAGAAGCCTGACTGTTTTTCAAAGTGTGGTCCTGTAAGAGGAAAGTCCTGAGCCTGGCTCTCCAGAGTCACCCGCTTGTTAGCTCTTACCTGGAAGGGCTCCACCCTGGGTCTCTCTACTCAGCAACATCATCAGAGCTGCTGTCCAGGGGACCATAGGAACCCATGGGACCATCATGGAGCTGGAAGGGCGGGTGAAGTGAGGAAACCGGTGGCCAGGAGATGTTGGACTCCTCAAGTTGAGCTCCTGGTTGAACAGCAGAGCCTATGACTAAAATTGTCTGCTATGAGCCCATTGGACAGAGGCTGAGGAAAGAACCAATGAAACTTGAGCTTCCTATGAGTCATCAGTCACTGTGGGCAGATGATGTGAGAGGACTGACAACTTAGTGCGTGATACAGATGAGATGTCATCAGAAGCTGGATAGAAATGGGGAGGGGTTCATGAGAGACAGGACCACAGGGCATCACCCAACAGGGAACGGACTGGCCCACTCCCGTCGACCGCCAACAGAGGAAACACTGACTGGATGTCCCGCACTGCTTCCATGACGTTGATCTCACACGTGAGCTTCTTTGTCACCCAGTCGAGGGCAGCCATGTGACCCCGACGCCCTGCTGAAGCCAGGTGTCTGTTGGCGAGTATTAATGCAGGGAGCACCATGATCCGGACTGGAATAATTCAGCCAGCCCCATCCCAGTCCTCGACAGACAGGAGGAAGCGTGTTGCTGCAGACAGCAACCAGACTCACGCTGCATAACTGAAGAAGGCACAGGTCCTGTACCTGAGGAGACATAGCCAAATCTTAATTCAAGAGTCGCGGAAGGGGCTAGAGACATGGCTTAGTCAGCAAAGTGTTTGCCACAAATGTATAACGGCCTGAGCCTGAATCCCTGACACACATGTAATCCCAGTGCCAGGGAGGCCAAGACAGGCAGACCTTGCTGGACACCGGCTCAGCGAGGTACCTGCTCAAAAATAAGGTGGAGGGACTGAAGAGATGGCTCAGTGGTGAAGAACGCTTGCTGCTTTCGTGAGAATGGTGAGTTCGGTTCCTAGCACCCAAATAGTGGCTCAGGAGTGTCAGTAACTCCAGTTCCAGGGGATTTGGTGCCCTCCTCTGGCCTCTGTGAGCACCAGGCATACATGTGGTACACATACAACATACAGGCAAACCTCTCATGCACATAAAATAGAAAGGTATCAAAAACAGCGGACAAGGGCTGGAGAGATGGCTCAGTGGTTAAGAGCACCTCTTCCAGAGGTCCTTAGTTCAATTCCCAGCAAACACATGGCGGCTCACAACCATCTGTAATGAGATCTGATGCTCTTTTTTAGTGTGTCTGAAGACAGCTACAATATACTTGTATACATTAAATAAATCTTTAAAAAACAAACAAACAAACAAACAAACAAACCAAAAACAAATGAACAGTGAACAAAACATCAGAGATAATCTGACAGTGGCAGTGATGTCTGGAACTCGGGTGACAGGTGACAATCTCTATCAAAGAGAAACAGTACAAACATCCGTATCTGGAGGGTGTGTACCTGGTCTTCTCAAGTCTCTACCCCTCATGGCGACTGTGGCTGAAGTTTCCTGGCCACATTAGCTTCTGAAAATGCTTCCTCTTCTTTGGCCGTCTTTGCCCAGCAACAGCCAGATCAGCTGTCTGACTTCTCTGATTGGCTGGCCCAAGCTTGCTGTTTTCCCCTGGTCTATGCAGTCAGGCTACAGAACCAGGTTTGGGGAGTTTCAGGTGTCCCCACTCTGCCTCAGTTCCTCGTCAGTGTCCCGTGATTACGGTCATCAGTTGTAGATTCCCCTACCTGTGCTCTGAAGGGAGAATGTTCCAGACTAAAGCTGAGGCCCTGAGAGCCTCCTTCCTGGCCTTCCTGCTGAGTCTCCCAGGATCTGGGGCCATCAAAGGTCAGGAGGATGGGTGGGTCACGTGGTGGGAATAGACAGCCGCGTGCTTCCTTTAGAATGAGAGTTTGGCAGGACTCTGTCGGTTTCCCTTGTGTTTCACCTCTCCTCACGCCCTTTTATGAAGTCCACTTGGTTTCATCTTGGTCTAATAGAGGCATAAAAACAAAAGCAACTGAGCTGGAGAAATGGCTCAAGAGTTAAGCGTGCTGCCTGCTCTTCCAGAGGACCCAGGTTCAATCCCCAGCAACCACATGGCAGCTCACAATCTGTAGCTCCAGGGGATCTGACTTTTCTCTTCTGGCCTCTGTAGGCACACATGTGCTACACTTATATGTATGCAGGCAAACACTCAACATATAAAAATAAAAGAATCTTATAAAACATAGCAGCCACAATCACCATTTACGCATCACAGGAACCATCCGTAAAAATAATTTTGCCTTTTTCTGAGAGATAAAAACATTGAAGCTGCCGGGCGGTGGTGGCGAACGCCTTTAATCCCAGCACTTGGGAGGCAGAGGAAGGTGGATGTCTGTGAGTTTGAGGCCAGCCTGGTCTACAGAGTGAGTTCCAGGACAGCCAGAACTACACAGAGAAACCCTGCCTCAAAAGTAAACAAACAAACACATCCCAAATAGAATTAATTTAAGGCAGGAATCCTGGATTAGAAGGAAGTATAAAGGAGACAAAGCTGGGGAGAGACGGAGGTGCCTGAACCCTGTTGCTGGTCACTTGCATCGTTTTAAATCTTGTCCTTGTAGTAAATACCTTAATAAACACATATTTGTGTAAATATGAAAATTAACTCATCACTTGGAGTGTGTGTGTGTGTGTGTGTGTGTGTGTGTGTGTGTGTGTGTAAGCACTGAGAGTGAGCATAGGTCTCCATAGATACTGGACAAGCTCCACCCCCCATCACTGCTTTTGCACGGTCTCCCTCTCCCGGCTTCTCCTCTCAATGTGTAAATATATCCTTTGCCTTAAAAACACGAACATGAACCATCCTTGCCTGTGTGTAGCATCCCACCTTAGGGCTGCTCCATGTGCGGCTAGCTCTTTTATGGTGCTCACGTTGGATGCCTGTTACTGCTGTAAGAGACCATGCCCATGGGTGCCTTTTGGCCTGGAGATGGGATCTCTCTATGGGGCTCAAGCTGGCCTTGAATCTCAATCCTCCTGCCTCAGGCTCCTGATTGTGCTGGGATTTCAGTCCTGCGCCACCAAGCCCAGACTACTAGAGTTCAACTCACTTTTTCTATTATTGGACCTTAAAAAGGATCCCAGATCAAAGGGACCTGCTGCTTATCCCCACCCCACTCCCCTGCATCTTCTTCACTTTCCTTTGAATCGAGTGTTTAGCTATCACCTCCCTTCAACTATGGCCTCAGGCCTTTTTCGGTTCTCTCTTCACACACACTCCCTGGGGCTTTTCAATTCTTACTTTACACACTCCCTGGGGTGCCACCTATTTCTGTTGCTGTGATAAACACCATGGCCAAAAGCAACTTGGGAAAGAAAGGGTTATTTGGTCTTCTATTTTAGGGTCTGCCACTGAGGGGAATCAAGGCAGGCATCCGGGAGGGAGGAACTGAAGCAGAGACCACAGAGAGTTGGGCTTTTCTTTTTCTTTCTTTCTTTTTTTTTTTTGTTTTTTTTTTGTTTTGTTTTGTTTTTGTTTTGTTTTGTTTTTTTGAGACAGGGTTTCTCTGTGTAGTCCTGGCTGTCCTGGAACTCACTCTGTAGACCAGGCTAGCCTCGAACTCTCGAACTCAGAAATCCACCTGCCTCTGCCTCCCAAGTGCTGGGATTAAAGGCGTGCGCCACCACCACCTTGCTCTTTTTCTTTTCCTTTCTTTTTTTTTTTCTTTTGTTTGTTTTTTTGTTATCTTCACCGTGTTTTATGAAGAAGATTTTTCTGAGTTCACAAGGCACCTAAAATCCTTCTTCGAGAACATTCTCTTCATAACGTTATTACTAATGATACTTTGTATTATGTTTGCTATTTCTTTTTTTTTTAATAAGATTTATTTATTCATGCTTTTTTAATGAGGACCCTGTCTGGATGTACACCTGGACGCCAGAAGAGGGCATTGGATCACATTACAGATGGTTGTGAGCCACCATGTGGTTGCTGGGAATTGAACTCAGGACCTCTGGAAGAGCAGTCAGTTCTCTTAACCACTGAGCCATCTCTCCAGCCCCATGTTTGCTATTTCTTAACCAACTAATAAAGACTAAGGAACAACAACAACAACAACAACAACAAAAAATCAAACCACACAGGGATTTTAAACTTAACAACTTCTATAATTCCACTTAAAACAAAAGCAAACATTTTTAAAGTTTTTAAAAATTATTTAAATACGCTTAAATTTTAAAAAAAGTTTGAAACCATTGTCAAAATCCATCCTGTTAGATTTAATATGTTCAAGATTAAAAAAAAAATAGAGTCACAGTATTAGCACAAGTTGTCTGTGCGTTTATGAGCTGAAACAAACACAGCGACCGTATCACTGCAACTCAGTGAGCTTCCCACCTTTTCTTTAATAAGGATGCTAGCATGCCTGCCCCTTCACTTCCATGAGTTTAAACCTAATTTCACATCTGCAGTCCTAGAACCGGGAGCTGTGGGGAAGAGAAAGTCTCTCTGAGCTCTGCATCGCTGTGTGACCTGAGGCAAGCCACTGGCCTTCTCTGTGTTTCCTTGGTTGCGTCTAGGGTTGTTGTAGCATTAACATGCATCAACTATGTAGCCTACTAACAGACCTGGCGCTCAGCAAATGCTCAACAGAGGCTCCTGTCACCCCCAGACTCCTGCAGAGTCATGGGGTTCCGCTGGACTGAAGATTCTATCTTCCTCCCTCTTCCCAACACCCCACACTGCCTCCAGTCTCCTGTTTCTCCCCCCCTCCCCCTCTTTTGGTCTCTTCTGACTTTATTAATAAATCCAGCCACTCCCCCGCCTCGGCACTTTACAATAGTTCTTACATTGGCCTCATTTTCCTTGATCTTGCTTCTACAGCGGAGCACGTGGCAGTGTATGACATATTCGTACAGATGCAACATCCATCCGGCGAATGCTTGTACGCGTTTGACGGTGATGAGCTGTTCTACGTGGATCTTGACAGGGAGGAGACGGTCTGGGACCTGCCGGAGTTCAGCAAGATGTATGCGTTCGATGCCCAGGAGGCTGTGCCCTACATCGTCAGCCTGAAGAACAACCTGAGAGCCTTGATCCAGAAATACAACGTCACCCAGGCCCCCAGTGGTGGGTTCTTTTCTTCTTCTGCCACCCGGTGGGGAGGGTTGGGAGGACCCCTGGTCCACACTCAGAATGGGAGACAGATGCCCTCTGCTGAGGGACCCTCCTTGGAGTGGCCCTGGGCTCCCTGCTTTAGAGTCGGAGGCTGGTGTCTCTTCTCACCCAAGAGAGGTTGAGCTGAAATAGGCTGCTCAGTAGGTGTCTTCCTGCTCTGTCTCTGGACCCAACAGTGACAAGAATTCTGAACCTGAGACGGAAAACACCCAGGGTGGGATCTCTGTGACGTACTCAGAACTGACCAGTGCTGTCTCTTCCTAGAGCCTCCTGAGGTGACCGTGTTCCCTAAGAACCCGGTAGAGCTGGGCCAGCCCAACGTCCTCATCTGCCATATCGACAGGCTCTTCCCCCCAGTGCTCAATGTCACATGGCTGCGTAACGGGCAGCTGGTCACCGAAGGAACTTCTGAGACTGTCTTTCTGCCCAGCACAGAACTCAGATTTCACAAATTCCACTACCTGACCTTCATTCCCACGGCGCAGGATGTGTACGACTGCAGGGTGGAACACTGGGGCCAGGGCCAGCCGAGTCTCGGTCACTGGGGTAAGCAGCACCCCCTTTCCACACACTCCTGCTCCCAGGACCTGGTATCCCACCATCCCCACTATACTAACTGTTTCTGTTCATTTCCCTCAGAAATGCAGGAGCCAGTTCAGGTGTCCGAGACAATGGAGACCGCGGTCTGCGCCCTGGGCCTGGTGGTGGGCCTGGTGGGCGTCATGGTTGGCAGTGTGCTCATCATAAGGGCTCCGCACGGGAGCCGTAACCCCCGGACCCAGGAACCCCTGTGAGTAACTGTGGAGGTAGGGGTGTGAGGGTGCAGTCAGAGGAAAGAGAGGGCGTCTGCACCTGCTGAGCAGAAAGGAGGTGAGCAGGGCAGAGCTTTGTAGAGACAACACTGAGAACCTAAGGCTCACGCACTGCCCTGAGTGTCTGCGCTTACCGTCCCTTGTTACCCTCACCTATAGTCTGCGTGACAGCACTAAAGTCACTGTGGTTTTGATACACACAAAAAAGATGCTTACAGCATCCATGTGCGCAAGAGCATTAAGCACCTTCACCAAGGCTACACAGCTAGACTGTCTGGATCGGAACAGCTTCCTATGGAAGAGACTAGGTTCAACCAAGCGTAGACCCAGTCCATCCTGCGCATGCGTCCCGGGCAGTGTGGGTGGGGGGAGGGAAGGGGGAGGGAGATGACTCTCAATTTCCCATCTCTGCTTAAACCCACTGCTGCCAAAAATTCGCATAAAAATTCTCTTCTGGGCTTCTATTTTATCGAAACATTTATATTTTAAATACTAGTGCTTTTAAATTCTCCTCTCACTGGATAGTGATCTCTCCATGACGGTCCGCGTCTCTCTTATACTGACTGATACCATTATTCACTCTGGACCAGGGAGGTATCAGTCAGCATTTTTTGACAGAGTTTCACTATGTTGGTCTGTAAGCTGTTCTGGAATTCTCTAAGTTACCTGGCAGGCCTTGAACTCACAGAGATCCACCTGCCTCTGCCTCTGCTTCTGCTTCTCCAACGCTGGAATCAAAGCCGAGCACCTCCAAGCCAGATTAGAAAGCCCCTGTTAGTTGTTTTTATCTGTAGAGGGTAGCATGCATCTTGATATTAGGAATTCTTCCATAAATGTCTGTTGACTTGCTGTGAATAGTATTTATTGCCCTGCCACAGGCTTGTTCAGTTCCTCGAATACTGAAGGCTACACGCTACAGTGATGAGTGTTCTGTGGCACCATCACTAGAACACACACAGCATGCCTGTATTACAATCACTGTCACCACGGTGGAGAGTGTGTATCATATACAGCTCGAGCAAGGCTACAGTGACGCTTCCTGGACTGAGAAAGTGGGGGTAGGAGCCGTACATAAAGGGAAGGGGAAACAGGATGGATGAACCCGAGGTTGATGGTGACTCTGTGCGTCTTGCTGCAGGTGATGATATTTTCTGAAAAGAACGTGGCCTTGGGAAGATGGCCTGAATGTGTACCGTTGCTACCCAGCCCTGGCTGTCCTGGAGCTCTGTAACCTGGCTGGCCTTGGACTCACAGAGGGCTCTGCCTCCTTGACAGATTTAAAGCGCTCAGACCTTAGTATGGTTACCAACAAATTAATGGTATCAAGTGGATGTTGCTGTGCTTGGCACCAACCTAGACACCCTGCCCTGGGCTCCTCATGAGCACTGCTGCTGGCCTTCAGAGGATGCCCAAGAACTATGTTTCCTGTTTCTGAGCTGGGAGGCTGAGTCTTGGGGGATGTCTTGGACCAGGTTGTTTATGATTAATTACCTCATGGCAGTGGTTTTTTTTGTTGTTGTTTTTTTTTTGTTTGTGTTTTTTGTTTTTTGTTTTTTTTTTGGTTTTTGGAGACAGGGTTTCTCTGTGTAGCCCTGGCTGTCCTGAAACTCACTCTGTAGACCAGGCTGGCCTTAAATTCAGAAATCCACCTGCCTCTGCCTCCCAAGTGCGGCAGTGTGGTTTTAAGTGGCACCATGGAAGTAGTTCCTGAGGGCTCTGACCTCACTTAGGGAGAGGGTGTGAAAGTTTAGATTTGGCCCCGGAGAGGGGACAATGGTAAAATTTACTTGGATGAAGATTCATTTGGATGAGTCTGAGAGCCACAGTGGTTGGAGTTCCTAAGGGAAGAGAGTCGAACCCTTCCTCTGGTTTGATTGTAATAAAACATCTTTTTATGAACCCTCAGTGGTTTTTTTTTTTTTTTTTTTTTTTTTTTTTTTTTTTTTTTTTTTTTTT